CGTATTCAGTAATCGGTAAATTATGATTCTGACCCCTTTTGTTTATCGAAACGTTATTTTAAAACAAATACTTAGTTATGTGAAATAATTTATTTATCATTTTGTTGGAAATTAAATTGTCTAAATTAAAATGACATATGATTTAAACATTTGTATGATAAATTAAAATGTTGCAGCAAAGACATAAACGTTTTTTTTGGCCCAACCTCTATGATCGTAATTCATTCCAATCAGGACTTAACTGGTGGTTACAACGCGTGCTTTGTCAATTTGACAGCCGATAAGATAGAGATAATAAAAAAGGTAGTTTCAAGTGCCTCCTAGGATAACACCCTTTTGAGATCTATTCACGTAACTACTGTATCTGTAGTTTGGCTTGACGAAATAATCCTAGACACAAAGAAAGAGGTATGTTACATTATTTTGTAGAACAACTATACGTAGCCTTTTAAGAAAAATTCCATGGGAAATGATTCGAAATCAACTATCAGTTACGCGAAGGAGCAATCAAGACATAGCTATATACAGGAGGGTGGTTCTTTGCAAAACTTTTATAACATATCGCAGATTTTCTTAATTTGGATTTTAGTTACAAATTAAATAAACTACCTTGGTACCAAATATTTCCACTCTCGACCTCTGAAAAAATCGTTCCACGCTCCACTAGACGTTTAGGTGATTTTTACAAATATGTCATTTTCTAGGGGTGGGACGATGACCCGATAAGTCGATTCCCCACGGATTGAGGCCTCCGGGTTGACCCGAATCGACTTCTCAGTTGAAGATTTGACTCATTTTCGAGTTGAAAAAGAACAACTTCCGGTTAATAAATTCAATATTAAAAACTCTTAACTTTACATGTCTTCTTCCATGAACTTGCCAATTTAAGGGTTTGGATTACAAATAGGATATGTCGTAAGAGTTCTGAATGTAATATTATCATTTATTTGATCTAGATTATCGAATAAAATACAAATTATAAATGAACACGATGGACGATACAAAATGTCCCATATACACCCTGCTATAGCATGACGGTTACGCCACCTCTGAAAACGAGGTTGGACGGCTACGTTCACTGATTTATCCAATAAAATGGCCGCGATGGAACAGAAAACTAAGATTGGTGGGTGTTATTTTCTACTACTGTGTATTAATGAAAGGATGAACGATTTATGTAATGTATATTTTGAACGTAGTCTTTGCAAATTGATTCCCCGGGGATAACATGAAAAAAAAACTGGTGGGTTTGAAATTCAAAACAACACACAATTTAGTAATTTTTTTTATTTTTGTCGTTAGGACATGGTCTACATTGCCGAACGACCTCGGGGAATATAGATGTAACCTACATACGATCATAAAAAGCCAATTGAGCATTGGAAAAAACCTAATATGTTTTACTCAAGCCATAATAATGCATTTTGAATTTGTGGTTACGCAAAATATGATCGTCGGCTACGCAAACCTCGTTAAATATGTATCCCCGATTCATTGTTATTAATTTTGTCATATTAATTAGAACTTGATGCTAATTCTTCTTTTGCCTCTTCAATGCTATCTTTTTGACTTTCATTTGTTTCATAGATAAAGTAAGACACAATTTTTTCCTTGCCCTATAGAGGCTCAAACAAGAGCGTCTCTTGCGAGTCCAGAAAGCAAATATAAGCAATTCAATATTCCATTTCTGACCCATTATAACAATGACATGGAAATAGGCTATCAGAACTAGCAACTTTGACTTGAAAGGTGAATATATACGTAACCGTCCGCTATCTAATGTAAAACTTATACTATACGTTACCGTCCATAGCATTCATACGTTGTCGTCTAACGACTTTGGGTTTGAAACCTTATTATTTACAATACACACCACCACGGTGTTATAGCTTGACGGTTATGCCACCTCTGAAAACGAGGTTGGACGGCTACGTTCACTGATTTATCCAGTAAAATGGCCGCGATGGAACAGAAAACTAAGGTTGGTGCATTATTTTCTACTACTGTGTATCAATGAAAGGATGAACGATTTATGTAAGCATCGCATTCGGTGATGCATTCTGTAATGTATATTTTGAACGAGGTTTTTGCAAATCGATGCCCGGGATAACATGAAATAAGCGAAAAACTGTTGAGTTTGAAATTCAAAACTACACAAAATTTAGTAATTTGTTTATTTTTGTCTTAAGGGCATGGTCTACATGTAACCTACATACGATCATAAAAATCAAATTGAGCATTGGAAACCACCTAATATGTTCTACTCAAGCCATAATAATGTATTTTGAACTTGCGGTTACGCAAAAAATTGATGGACGGTTACGCGAACCTCGTTCAAATATGTATCCCCGATCCAGTGTTATTAATTTTGTCATATTAATTAGTACTTGATGCTTGTCCTTGTTTTTCCTCTTCATTGCTATGTTTTTGACTTAAATTGGTTTCATATTTAAGAGGGTCTCTTGCCAGTCCTGAAAACAAATATAGCAATTCAATATTCCTTTTCTTACCCGTTATAACAATGACATGGAAAGAGGCTATCAGAACTAGCAACCTTGACTTGAAAGGTGTACATGTGCGTAACCGTCCGCTAAATATCTAATGCACAACTAATACAATACGTTACCGTCCATGGAATTCATGCGTAGACGTCTAACGACATTGAGTCCGCGTTCTGTTCAGGATTCGTCATTTTATGGCTTTTTTATACACAATTTACTTACAGTAAATAGTTTGAGCGGCTCTGAGGCACATATACTGAGAAAATACGAGAATGGACTAAAAATAATGAACTTGGATATCTCAGTCGGTAAGTTTACAACACACATTCTGCTTATCGTAAACCACCTGGCAGATTTGATCCAGTCTTTATAACCATCCATATATACGTCACCGAATGGAACTAGTTGAATATAAAATCTTATCTGTGAATCTTGCCTACAGGCGAGAAAGAGGACATGCTGTCTTTCCCATCCGCCATTTTTTTGTTATTGTTACCGCAAAATTTTGCAAATCGCCTTGACGTGACCGTCATGCTATAACACCGTGGTATAGCTAAAAATGTGTTAAGAATGTCTGTGTTACCTTTGCGCGCTAGATAGTCACCAAACTACATCGTATTTTGGCAAAAACAGTGTAATTTGCAGACAAATCTCACATGTTTTTATCTTTACAGGTAGAAAGCAACTTACTTTTTCACCAATTAGAATACATGTAAAATTGACAAAGTTCGAATCATAATTTCTCAAATCCCAGCCCATCGAATCCCCGCATCCATTCAGACCATGTGGTCCTTTTCAAAAACTTCCCGTTCGGTTATATGGTGAAAAAAACTCCCACGAACGAAAAAAGATTTTGCTACATTTTTAAGCCAGCATTGATTTCTGGGTCTGTAAAACGTACGTAGGACCTGATTACCCCATTGATTTACTGAGACCGCCAAAAATATAATTCAATTTTTGGGTTCAAAATTATAATATGTCAGCGGTCCCTGACACTCCTACTAGCTATTACCAAACATTAATTGTCAATACATGCACACATATACGTGCCATACATCTACAAAGTAGCAAACTAGTGTTTTAAGTACTACTTTTCCTATACCATGAACAAAACAAATCTCAAGTAGGTTGCATTGACCCACAGGTCGGCCATTTAGAAACAAGTCCACAGGACGAAAATCAATGAGCACTTTCAAAAGTGAATTAAGTGTGACAATATGTGAACAGTACGTAAACAATTTTTTAAGTAAAATCCATCGGGAAATTTTGCCACGCTTAAACACGAAAATAATGGATTCTTTTATCAAAATCGAGCAATATTGCCACAATAACGAACTAGGTTCGGTCGTTCGTTCGGAGTACAGAAAAAGTTTGTACCTAGCAGTGCGGTATTCATTCGTCGATATAATACATGCTCTCCGGTCTTCGGTTTTCATATTCGAATACAGTCGTCAAGGTTATATCCAAGCAACAGTTTCACGCAGATATTGGTCATGACATTGTGTCAAATAGTAGTTCCAGATTGATTGGCATATTATACGGTCGTTCAGAGATACTTGTTATGTATGAAGCGTAATATCCTATTGTTATTACTGATAAAAATTAAACATCGGGGGAGTATTGAGACCAATAGAACATAAATAACGAAATTAGTAGGCCAATATCTGGATGAAAAATGATGTTAGCAAAAGTATTAATCGAAGTCTTATATGACATTGAAGAATCGAGCACCATACATACAGTATCTTCGTTAACACATTATATCTCAGATTAAGAGCTTTCCATGTTCATGCTTCCAAATCACATTTTCTTGATGCTGTATCAGTTTTTCTTCACCATACTTATTTCTATGCTACAGCTAATATTTACTTCTTCCAAGGTCATCTTCAATTCCGACCTCGAGTCAATAATGAAGCCTTGTTTGTATATCATATTTCCGTCTCCATCTATTGTTATATAAATCGAGATAATGTTCAACAAAGCTGTTTTAAAAATCCCTCACTCAATCGTTTTATTTAATTTTAGATGAAATCATGCAATATCTCACATAGAACAGGTATATTTCAATTCGTGAACTATTCTCACAAATATTTTTTCCGAAGTACACGGCGGGCCATATGTTATGATTTTTAGCCAAGTTATCAGTTATTGGCTAGAATAATAATACTAAATTTTTGTCTGACAATAATTTCAAAATATACTAACCATCTTACCCCATGTTTTCTCTGGCAGAATAAAAACTATTTGTATGTCATTCAAGTACCATAATTTGAGGCTATTGATTAACATCAGTGTAAATTGTTGTTTCGAAAACCATCCTTAAAAACGTTTACCTATAATATTAGAAAAACTAAAGATCTACTTTTCCCTTTCAGTAAGATTTGAAAATGAAACTTGTATCATGTCAAAATCCTTGCAATTTCAGAACATTTGTATTGAAATGAAAAAAATCTGGACGTTTTTGGAGCACCCTGTATACGTTTCTACTTTTATTTGCAGGGCTCCAAAACACTTTATGCATCATGTCGGGCTTTCCCTTCGTTGTTGTAGGGATTGGATTGACACTGGCTGGAATTCTGCTGATCATACTGTTATGGTATGTTTTATTTATTTATTTATGTATTTATTTATTTATTTATTTATAAAAAGTAGCTGGGCATCAGCCACGTTCTATGATGGAGATGTTAAACGGCATTCAATCAAACATTGTATTGTATTTGTGGAGAGTTAAAGTGGTGAAAATGACCCAGATATTTTTTACATCGTTCTTTTATCACCGTTGAGAATAAGGGAGAGTTTGTGTCGTTGTGACCTATATTTGATAGAATATTGTGTGTTCATATTCATCAATTCATTTCAAGTACGTCCAAAATGTTAAGGCAGAGTGCAGTGAAAAGTGACAGGGGGGGTTACATTAGTGAAATTATTGGCGTAGAGGTGAGCCTTAAAATGTATTCTGTTAAAATGGATCTCTTGAATCAGATAGTTGGATGTATTCATAACATCAGAGAAAACTTCTATTTTTAGACTGGATTTGAGTATACTTAGGATCGGCGAAAATGGTATGATGTTTAATATGTGCGCTTAATTTAGACGCGAAACATTTCAGAAAAATAAAAAATCATTGGAACGTTTAATGTACAAAAAATGTCCCAGTAAGAATTTGAATAATATGACAATATCATGGGAATCGTAACATAGGTCTAAACATATTATGAAAAAAGTAGTTATTTTTATGTTAGAATAACAAATTGATTTAGTTTTGCAAGACGCGATTTATTCTTTTTCAAGCAAAACTAGATCAATTTGTTATCTAAACATATTATGAAATGTAAAAGTAAAATCCTACTTTTTCAAGAGGCAATGAAACCCCTTTTGTGGAAGTTTATACATTTTTGTTTAATTCAAGGTTGTCGGAAATGCTCATTGACTTAAAAAGAAAAAAACATTTTGGAGTATGATACCTCGGCGCCATTTCCAATAGCTTTTACTCTTAGCGTTGTTTAACTTCAAACAGAAGTTAAAGTTTCCCACAAATGATGTATCCATTGCATGGAGTAAGAAATTTTCTCTGGTATGGTGAAACATATGAGTAAAAAAATAAATTGTATGGGTTTCTTAGTGTTTCTATGCAAAATAGCACGCTCCGTCACAGCGGACAAATTGTTCGATACCAGCCTGTAAAAATGTGATATTAATCACTATGTGTCTTGTTAACATCGTTTGTGATCTTGTTTGATTAGATAACAGGATGGACTGCTTTTTGTTTCAGGTGGCACGTCTTTTCCAGAAAAGGTGAGATACATATTTTAGCTGGGAAAGAAATTTAACCTGATTAATATATATTTTCAAAAGAAATGTATTCACTTAAAAGCAGAAACAGATCCATAGGTTGTTACAAAATTGCAAGCAACATGTAAAGTTCACCTACCAATATTCCTTATAATCTCAAATATTATACCTCCTTAAAGATCCATGATACGTTATGATTCAAAGTGCTGAAATTACTACTCTCTCTCAAATAATAAAAAATTGTAACCATTAATTGAAAAATAATACGCTATGAATTGTATTTTTATTCTAAAAAAATCGTTAGTTTTCCTCAAATACAGTATAGAGTGCCATAATATGTAAGAAAGCATTCAGAATATGATCCAAAATTAGGCCAAAGTGAACGGGGGTCAAGCAAATTTAGCACTTCAATTGCTATCAAAACCACATACAATATACAGATACAGATACAAAAATGATAAATTGCGCTGAACTCACAAATGTCACGAAACAAGTTGTAAGTGTCTCCTATATGTATGGAACTAAAATTAGAGTGAATCTTAATGAGTTTGTCAAATAAACAGCTAGATCGTATTTACTCGGTTTTTTTATGAAATGAAAGGGACTCACATTATTTGTGTCGTTAATTGGAGAAAACAAATGGACTATGTGTATCTAGAGGTTACTGAATAAGAAAATATACGATACACTTATGGGTCTTATTGAAAACATAAAGTTATCAGGATGATCGTCCATACCCGAAGTAAAGAATGACTTATTTTTCAGTAACCCGTCGGGTAGCTGTAACAAACGCAGACATACAACATGCTATCGTTTGCTGTCAGGCGGTGTATCAGACAGACAGTAATGGAGAAACTGATAAAGTCATTAAACATTTTAATGAAAATAAACCTCTACATAATTTCGACAGAGTTTGTGTTAGTAAATATGGCCGAGTTCGTTACTTGTTGGCTGTCCAGGAGGGAGACACTGCTAGGGATTCTAAAGGCGATAATAAACAATCGGAAGTGTTTATTGCCTTTAGGGGTATAATGTTTTATATTTATACTTAATGTTTTGCTGACTTTGTAGCGTTAAGTTATGTTTTTAACGATTGGAAATTACAGGTGACATCATTTTTATTTACTCCTGTTGCTGACGGGGTCCCACTGAAAATGTAAAAGTTATGGAATTTGACTCTTTCAACCATCAGCATATACCCTAGGCTCCAAGAATATATGAGGTGCTTGTCTCAAAAGTGGTCAGCGAATTTTTAATTAGCTATTATAGTGGCGCCCTCTTTCCATTTTCTGACATAGGGGTGGCTTGACAAAATATTTTTTTAAAGTTGTTTTCTCTATGCAATTGGAATGATGAATGTATATTATTAAATAGAAATGTCTGAAGTATCCTCTGAATTTTCTGGGCATTTGTGTGAATAACAGTTCCGAATAATTAACCCTTTGAATCCTAAAAGTTGGTTAAAAAGTGGGACTATACTACATATCTTTACATCGTATGGGTAAATTAAAAGATTTTGATTCTCTTTTTTAATTTTATATAAACTTGGTTTAATAAGGATAAAATGCCATGGTATTTGCTTTTTCGAAAATCATTGATTTTTTCAGAAAAAATATCAAAAATTTGCCATAATTTTTTAATATTTCACTATATTTCAAAAGCTCATGACAAAAATGATTTTTTTTAAATAATTTACAAATAGATAATGTTAATCCAACATACACCGTTATATAATGTGCTAATCTACGTAAATGTTTATGCTTTTCTCAATTGAATATATATTGATTTAGAGGTATTAACCCTTTAAACACTAATATTACTTGAAATGTTTTCATGTATTATTCTATTCAAATGATAGTATTATTGTAAATATCCAATGTTCATTTATCTTCATTTACAAAGTTGCATATGACACATACATACATACATACATATGTTTCTAGACTACTGATTATATACTTCTACACTATTTTAACCCTTAGGGCACCAATACTGATGAAAATGTTTCCATGTGTTATTGTGACAATTGTATTCAGTTGTAAACATCCAATGTCCATTACGTTTCATTTATATTGTTTCATATATACATTTTATAATTTCTAGACTACGGATTATGTGCTTCTGTACTATTTTAACCCCTTGAACACTAATTCTGATAAAATATTTTCTTGCATTATTCTAGCTATTCAAACAATTGTATTCAGTTGTAAAAATCCAATGTTCATTTATCTTCATTTATAATGTTGCACATATAGATTTTATCATTTCTAGACACTGATTATTTGTTTTTTTAATATTTTAACCCTTTGAGCACTAATATGGATGAAATTGTTTTCATGTGTTATTTTATTGAAACAATTGTATTCAGTTGTAAACATCCAATGTCCATTAAGCTTCGTTTACATTGTTGCCTATATACATTTTATAATTTCTAGACTACGGATCTTTTGCTTTTGTACTATTTTAACCCTTTGAACACTAGTGTAGATGAAATTGTCTTCATGTGTTATACTATTCAAACAATTATATTCAGTTGTAAACATGCAAAGTCCATTTATCTTCATTTACAATGTTGCACATATGCATTTTATAATTTCTAGACTATATTGGGTGTGTCAAGTAATGTGACTTTAATCAGTATACTGATGATTTAATAAACTGGCTACAAATTACGTTAATCAGTGAGTAACTGCATATTGTAAGATTTTAAGCATTCAGCATTTTCAGCATATTTCCTTCCTATGAGCAACTTTAAAGTCGAATTTAAGGTAAGATAGTAGATTGGTCAGATAGTATATTTGGTAGATTTGTTTTAACAAATCAGTCATTCTGTCAAATTATTTTACTTATATTGGGTGTGAACCAAATTAAGTATGCCAGTTGAACGCACAGGGTAGGGTTCAATACGAGGATGTTAAAATTTGAGCAAACTGATGTTTCCATAGTTTCAGTAAGATCTAGTCGAGTTTCTAGATATTTTTATATATAATTGTCTGTAACAACATCTTAGACAACTTTACAGTGAATCGGATAGTCAAATCAACACAAACTCCAAATGTAGTATATGGTGAAATGTCCGTGTACATTTACATGTACCTGAGATATTGTACAATGCAAATTCAAGTTGTTTGTTTTGTACCTTACCATAACCGGGCATTTGTGAAGGTTGAACTATAAAATTCACAGTCAAGCTCACTGTCTAGGATGCTGTGACAGACATTTACATGTAAAAATATTTAGAAACTAGATCAGATCTTTCTGAAACTATGAAAACATCAGTTTGCTCAAATGCTATCACCCTTGTGTTTTACCATACCATACATTTTCATCAATATTGGTGCCCTAAGGGTTAAAATAGTACAGAAGTATATAATCAGTAGTCTAGAAACATATAAAATGTATGTATGTGTCATATGCAACTTTGTAAATGAAGATAAATGAACATTGGATATTTACAATAATACTATCATTTGAATAGAATAATACATGAAAACATTTCAAGTAATATTAGTGTTTAAAGGGTTAAACCTCTAAATCAATATATATCCAATTGAGAAAAGCATAAACATTTACGTAGATTAGCACATTATATAACCATGTATGTTGGATTAACATTATCTATTTGTGAATTATTTAAAAAAATCATTTTTGTCATGAGCTTTTGAAATATAGTGAAATATTAAAAAAATATGGCAATTTTTTGATATTTTTTCTGAAAAAATCAATGATTTTCGAAAAAGCAAATACCATGGCATTTTATCCTTTATTAAACTAAGTTTATAATAAAATTAAAAAAGAGAATCAAAATCTTTTATTTTACCCATACGATGTAAAGATATGTAGTATAGCCCCACTTTTTTAACCAACTTTTAGGATTCAAAGGGTTAATTATTCGGAACCGTTATTCACACAAATGCCCAGAAAATTCAGAGGATACCTCAGACATTTCTATTCAATATGTACATTCATCATTCCAATTGCATAGAGAAACAACTTTAAAAAATATTTTGTCAAGCCACCCCTATGTCAGAAAATGGAAAGAGGGCGCCACTATAATAGCTAATTAAAAATTTGCTGACCACTTTTGAGACAAGCACCTCATATATTCTTGGAGCCTAGGGTATATGCTAATGGTTGAAAGAGTCAAATTCCATAACTTTTACATTTTCAGTGGGGCCCCGTCAGCAACAGGAGTAATCCAGACCATCCAGCGATTGAAGATATCTGTTACGTATGTCATCAAGAAGTCACAATTATCAATTTCGTTTTTATCAACGCAGTCAGATCACTTCTCTCTTTTCTATCTAGGAACTAATAATTTTGATGACGTGCTCTCTGATTTAAAACTCTTCCCGAAGGCAAGTGATTACGAGGGACGCCTCCATGCAGGTTTCTACGAAATTGCAGAGATGATTCCTGTAGAGACCATCCTACAGAAGTACAGAGGGTATCGCATTGTTATTTGTGGTCACAGTATGGGTGGCGCCGTCGCACAAATTGTTGCTCTTGAAATGCTTGTTCAGATGGATATAAAACAGATAAAAGATACAACGACTTGTTGCATAAGCTTCGGGGCACCTCTTGTTGCTACTAAAGGGGTGACAGAGTTCGTCGATAAACATGAAATGGCTTCTAAATTTGTAAATGTCATCAATCAAGGTGATCCAGTTCCTCGGTTACTTATGTTGAGTCAATCTCTACAGCAAGTAGCATCCTCTTCTTCGCAATTTGCCGAACAAGCTAACGGAGTGATTACACCGATTCTAGATGTGCTATCACATGCTCCACATGCCATTGTGAGTAGTAGCGCATCGGTCGCCAGAGATGTTTTACTCGGTAGGTGTTAAAAATTACTATACTTATGCCAAATATAACAGGAGAAAACAATTGATAACGAACAAACAACATTATAGTAAAGGGACAGAGCAATAACAATCTTGTATGACAAAAATGTCTTCTGTTGACCCTCGTTGTGACCAACCTACCTTGATTCAAATTGGCTTCAGATCCATGTAGGGGTTAAAGAGTGCAAAGTCAGCAATTTTTTGACCGTAGGCTAAAAGCTATAGGTATCTCATTTCGTTCGTCTGTTAATTAGTGTATCCGAGCCTTAACTCAAATACCGTTTGACAGATTGAGTTCAGTTTTGATACAAGACTTATGCCTTAGTGTACTGTAGAGACTATCCACAGAAAGGAATTTTAAATACGACTGCTTAATCAAAAATGGCCGCCGTTTTCGTAAATTAATGTTATCGAATAAACAATTCAAATACAAGTTTACCGATTGGATTCTAAAAATGATGATGTCAAGGAATTATGCTCAAGTAATATAATCTTTGCCAGCGATAGTTTCATATTTGACTTATTTGTATGCCGCTCCCTCTGTAAACGTTCAAGTAGCACCGCGATTCAATAGGATATATCGGGCGTATCTGTCCGAAGACTTCAAATAAGATAAGTGCGAATTTTTTTAAAGGGCAACGATAAACTTCCCGTTTTAAACAATATGGCGGCAAGAGGCGAGCAAACTTGATAAGTCTAGTTTAAGAAATAGGGGGAGTTTTGTAAGTTCCAGTTTATTGAAATCGTCTTGGAGATAAAATATTCCATTTTCAATGATTCTATTCACATTGAGAGGTTGAACCATTCAATGGATACATGTACACCCGCCAATATAAATCGTGTATTAAAACTAGACTATTAAAACTGGCTCGTTTGTAGAACATGCTCCGTTCTATTTCTTATGTTTTGGTATGGTTTTCTTATCTTTTGAAATAACGTAACATTTACCACAGTATGCAAGTGTCTGAATGAGATCTACGAATGGTTAGAGGGTAGTTGTAAGACTAAAGTGTGAAAGGGTGAAAGCTTAAAGTTGCATGTTAATTTCGATAATGCCAATTATTAATGACTTATTTATAGCACTGCTTCATATTCTTTTGGAGTTTGAATGGGCGGTCCTTCGGATTTAGCCAATCCACAAATCATAATAATTCACATATTTAGTTCAATATAATAATCAACTTTGTAGATTTAGAAAAATAGTAGACTCCAGATTGAAAAGGACTAGTATTAAGATGGCAAGAGATTTTGGACAGCTGTATTTTTGGTCACGGGTATTTCCCGACCACACAATGAACATTTTATATTAAAACAATATCTTGACTTCAACAAATGTGCATGAAAAAAACAAAAAATCTCATTTTAATAATGAGATTATCCATGGATTAGTAAGCCACCTTCAATAATATTGACCTTATTACTGAAAAAGATGACCATGATTTTTCATATTTTTTGCAATATAAGATTACATTTTAAGGTAGCATTCACTTCATATAAGGGCATGTGGATTGAAAAGTTAATATGAAAGTTACATGGGAATGAGGATTATCCAATGGGAAATCCCATGTTATGGAGTTCGCCCTGTCCGTCTTTGAAAGTTCTGTTTACCCATCTGCCATCTTTGAGAAAATCGATGCATTATGCCTGGGTCACATAGCCGCCGGGCGCCGGCCGATGAGTAGTCATCGGCCGATTTCTAAATCGACCGGGCGCCAGTGACTTATCACCGATGTCTTGATCTAATCGTGAGTATGGTCACATTAAAACAGGCATCGTACGGCGCCCGCAATCAATTGAATCTGAAAGACATCGCACGGGTATCGCAAGGCTATCTGCCGATGGCCGTACGGCACCCGCCAGGACATCGGTCGATCAACAGGCCTCTAGATTTATACTTAATTCTTGTATGACCCAGTATGACTGTTCCACATGGCGTAAATGCAAGATTCGAAAACGAAATACGAGCCAGGTTAATAATGTTTTCATGCAATAAAAATCAGAAAAAGAAGATCCTCTTTTCGAGTAAATAGGTTCAATATTTAGAAAAAAATGCTGACATGGGGTCCCTAATCATAATTTTTCAAATTGTTTGATTGATATTTTTACTATCATGGGTACTCCAATTGAAAGAAAACACATTGTTTTAATAAGAACACTGTATTTATGCCCAGAAAGTATTCATGGTGAAAGTTATGACCGTCTAAAATTACTTGCCATACTGCACGTGGTCTTTTCATCAAAGTGCACCCTGACCTTAACCCATTTTTAGATCTTTCATATAAACAAATACTATGTCTACCTATATACCTACCTATATATGGCCAATTGGCCTAATCCCCTTCTATCCTTAGCCTTTGGCATATTAACTGTAATTATTGAGACAGTGAACTTCGTATTAAAATTGTGACCCTTCGAAATACTACTCACAAAATCAGTCAGAAGATTTTTAAAATAAATGATTTGTAATGGTATATGCATGAGTGAATATACGTATAAAAATGTATCACTCTATTCAATGTGTATGACAGACATACACGATTAATGTCAATATAAGAACGACTAGATCAACCCACCCACCCAGCCATTCAGATGTGTGTGATTGTTTTACAGTAAGCCTAATCGTTCCATTTATGTTTTATAAAAAATCTCTGACAGTATGTAGTAATTATAATTCCTTACCTCATTATTTTTAGAACCTTTTTATCACTTTATATGTAATCATTATTAAGATTTATCAAACAAATCAGCACGCAAAATCCCAAGATGACCGTGCGATGCCACCGGGCGCCGTAAGATAATCGTACGATGACCGGACGGGACACGGCCGGGTAGGTACCGATGAGTTTGGTTGAGAAAAAATCGCCAAGACATCGGCAACTTTTATCTCCGCGATAAAACTCTGCCGGCGCCCGTACGATGTCTAAAAATCGGCCGATGAGTGGCGATCATCGCCCGGCGCCCGTACGATGCCCGGGCTCGCCGGCCGATTTTGAACATAATACTCATCGGCCGGGCGCCGTAGTGAAAATCGGAGCCTATGTGACCAAGGCATTAATGAAGGAACATTTGTAAATGTATGTATGTGTTGACAGCTAATGAATGCATGGCAGTTTGCTAGGTCATGGGAAACCAATATAATCCATTATTTATGTGAGGGGATTTAATTCAATACCAGAGTATCCAATGAGGCATGAATATAATAACATTGACTGACTTATACTGGACCTATGGAAAGCTGATGAACAGTAAAGCTATGTATGAATGTGAAAATGTATGAAAAGGGGATGGATTATGAAACTGATTTTGGTAACAGTTCCACAATTTGTAATCCATTTTCAATCTCTGACAATACCACATGTGCTATTCTGACATTACAATACCACATTTGTTACTCCGCCATTGCAATACCACATGCATTTCTCTACATTGTAATATCACAAGAGTTACTCTGACATTGCAATACCGCATGAGTTACTCTCGCATTGTAATACCACAAGAGCTACTCTGGGGTAATTTCAATTGAGTCTCATTAGATACCAATGAAAAATAAAATGACCCATTGAAATTTACGAGTATGTGATTCTGTTGTCCTATTGAAGTTTTCAAGACTCAGTCGGATTTTGTAGTACTGAGACTCCACTGGCAAATATATAAACGTACTAAAGTCTCACAGAAATAAGGAGCATATTCCTTATTTCCATTGTTTTACTTTTCAATATACTTCACAAAAGTATTTTACATGTACACTCTCCTATGTATACCGTTCCGTATTAGTGAAATTGTTGACATTAATACGGAATAAATCATACCATTTCATGAAAAATGGCGACCTTGTCCTACGGAAATTGAGATTATGTTTTACAGCAAGTTCGCACGGCGATACTGTATAGCACATGCTCTGGGGAATTGATTCTACTTTCTATAGACACCAATCACATCTCTGTCAATAGAATAATAAAAAAGCCTTAGGGCCCCAACCTCCTTTGTTTACATTTACAAAAACGTGAAAAAATGACAAAAGTTGTCATAACTATTTGAATCTAAATCTGTTGAAACCGATTTCACTTGCTAGCGACAGATACTTTAGTCTTTCACGAACCGAACATGTCAGTTTGGTTCGTAATATCTCCAAATAAACTATTTCAACATTTTGAAAAACTCGATGCTAGTCCACGTGTTAATACGGAATGGGTGTTAAATCGCATACATTCCCGGGGAAATCACAATTTCCATAAAACTTGCAATGATAATTGTTCTGATAGCTTATTGATAGACATTGGACAGTATCTTATTGCATGCAAATGGCACGTTAATCGACGGCGTCAACACGTCCGTCGTCAATCGCAAGGATTGAATGTACATAAATAGTGTTCTCTTTTTCTTAAGTATTTAAAGATAAGTTGTACATCGACGGCGTCAACGTGATAGCTTTACGCCCATTAATAGTATAGATAGGTTGTTGTACCTTTTCTTATTGCATCTAATAGGTAGTAGTTTACCGACGGCTACAACGTATGTCCTGGATCCAAGCTAATAAAGCAACGTGTTTGTTTTGTATTTAAGAATTGCTATAGTCAGGGGATGGTCTCGCGTGGGGTATTTCTTGGGGTGCACAAGAATACCCCACGAAAGTCCAGGTAGGTGTCATAATATTTGGTACTTTGTGAACGTGTTGAGTTGTTTTCTTACTTGCCGATTCCCCCAACACGTTTCCATTACACCAGAGGATGATTGAAGTGTTAAAAATGGACAGCCAACCAAATTGTCTTTGTAAAAAAAGTGGGCAGGAACAAAAGTCTTTTGATTTTTCCGACATTTTCATTCAAAAATATGGTTGACGCCACATTTTAGAAAGACAATAAGTACTAAATGAGGTTAGCTGTCCATTTGTCCATTTGAATTTAATTCAGCAAATTGAAGCTTACATTTTCATATTGTTTCCTTGTGAAATAAACATTGTAGTATAGTTGTCATTACTTATGCGACATTCCC